TTGTTCTAGCACCTGACGCAGTGTGAAGATTTGGTCAACACAACCCCTACCAGGCCGGAATCCCGCTTGCTGCTCTCGAGTCAGTACCTCACGAGCCACCGTAAGGCGACGAAGCACAATTGACGCCAACAGTCTCGTTACAACCGGGGTCAAGCTGATCCCCCTGTGGTTACCGCATTCAATACGTGCCCCTTTTTTGAAAACGGGTACTATCACCGGTTCACCCCAGTTGTCTGGGACAGACTCCTTTTCCCAAATGCAAGCAAACAGATCGGACAAGCGCTGACTGAGAACTTCACCTCCGTCTTTGAACAGTGCGGGTTGAAGGTCATCCGGACCGGGAGCTCGGTGGCGCTTGAGAGAACATATGCAGTCGTAAACCTCCTCCAGTAGAATAATAAGCACATATGCGCACCTTGCCATTTGCTTTTTTGATGACAACAACTATAGCTACCTATAATGAATAGTTTATTGGCTGGATATCTCCGAATTGCTGGCGAAGAATAAATTCATTCTCACGGTTGCGAGAGCGGCAAATGGAATCGGAGTGAAGTTTGAGGATTGCTTTGGTTTTGGTACAACATTCAAAGCCACCTTGGAAGACATCGTCTAATTTTGTCTTGAATTTGTTGGCAGATAGTTGTGCAATATCTGAAGAGGATGAAAATTTCATAACACTGCAAATATGAGAAAGTGTGTTGAAAAGATCAAATTTCTCAATCCAATCAAGTCCAAGAACGTTCAAATTAGGACAGCCAGTGAGATAATAAGTTCCTGAGAAATACAAACTGTTGAAGGATACATCACTTGCCAGTCAATAGTACGGTACTGCCAGATTCAATTTTGGCCCGACGTTTCATGAATGGCACAACAGGCTTTTCTACCAAATCCCAACTGGAACGTGAGAGCAACTAAATATCTGAAGCTGTGTCGAAACGCAGACTGATTGGAACTTTGCTGTTGAAGAGTTTAAGGTATTTCCTTTGGGACTCAAATTCAACTTGGAATGTTGCCAATACAGATCTGAACTGCGGACGTCTCTTGCAGGGCCGCTTTTTGACTGTCGCTGATTGGACTGTTGAAACTCTTTTGGTTTTTGGGTACTGTGGTTTTGGGTCTTTGTGGCCCCAACGATGACACGTCTGGTACTGGTGGTTCTTGAAAGGATAGAAAAGTGTATATTTTCACTCGCCACAGGACCAACATGATGCCGGTGGTTTTTCCTCATGTGTGACAATGGTTCGTTCCAATGGCATGACACCACTGGTATTAGTAGGTCGAGACGACTGCTGTACCATTCCGGTATCGTGTTTTAGATCACGCAAACGTCAGTGGTGAGTTATTTCTCTGTAATATCCTTCTAGTGCTCAAGTAAGGAAAACAATCGAGTGCGAATATCTGATTCCTGAGGAGAATGGAGACAGAAAACGAGAATCAGACACTTGAACTGATCCTGTGCACGTGACTGCAATTAAAAATTTTTTCAGGCTCACGGTTGACAACACTGGCAAAGGTGACGTAGTCGTCGGCATGGCGCTTGGCCAATTTACTTCAAATGAATCTAACATTGAAAGCTGAATGCTGCTCACCGAAAATTTCACCAAGTTGTTCTACTGTTTGTACAACGTTTAGCTCCTTCGGCTTTTTGGGAGGAACGATGTTCTTGAACCGACCTCGATCGAGGGCTCCAAGTTTCCGGTCAAAGAGAAGGGATTCCCACGCATCATCTTTGTCGATAGACTCATTCTGGAAAGTATCGTCCCAGCAACTGTACCATGAATCGAATGTGGGACCGGATACCGGTTCGTAGAGAAATTCGGTAGCAGTTGCTGCGATAGAATCGGCAAAGGATAGTGAGCTAGAAACTGGTGTCCGATGACTAATAACTTGAGTAAGAGACTGAACAAGTCGCATTTGCGAAGGTTCGAACTGTACTTGTTTCTGTAAACGGATTGTTGTCAAATTTTCAGCTGAAAATTTATGTTTGTGGTTGTGTTGGGTTCCCATCGCCAGTGTCATATCCTCTTTGATAATGTATCAGTCAGATTCGTCATTTCACAGGGATCTAAAAGACAAAGGACTTAGAAGTTGTGCTGCAGATAACTGAATCGTTTCGTGAAATGGAATTTAACTGAACGAGAATATAAAATAGCTAACAGTCCAGTAATGTCAGTGAGGGACTGAATTGTGGAAGCAAGTTTTCAGTATACCAGGCAATCGTTAATAAAGTGGATTTGTTCGTTTGGGGGCAATCCTTCTAACACTAACACTGAAAATGCCACTATGCATCCGTTTAGAAAAGTACGTTATTTCTCCACTTGTTTATTGGATTTTATTAAGTCACCCTCTATCCTTGGTAGCAAATGACCAGTATAGAATCCAAATCTAGTTACCATCAGGTTTGGGGCTGCATAGCTGTGGAGTTCGGACTGGTTTAAACAATTTTCTCACATTTTTGTGAGAATTCTCTTGACAGACGTCTTGACAATTAGAGTGATGTTCTTTCCTTGATTAAGGAATGTGATTAATGGCTTTACATTGTAGATTTATCCCTATCATTCTTCTCCCAATACAGATTCAATGGGTAATCAGACTGCAAACAGGCACACACAAGTTCACCCGTCCCAGGATTTCGTTTTGCCGGGCTACAAACTTCTAGCTTGCAAACTGGGAAAACATGACTACGCGAGATATGTTTGTGCTTGTTGAACCATCAGTTGTGTCCTCATTCCCAGTATGCGCATAAATGGATTATGCTTGTGTGGGATAAAGTGAGTCCACGAGATCAAATGAAGCCAATCTGTCCTAATTAATTATAAGGTGCTGATTGCCTTGTGCACTTGCCATTTTCACCCCTGGTATGGGCGATTTTCACACCCGATATTGTGCTGCCTCTGCGTTGTTTCAGATGTTGCGTGCACACCGACAAACGCGTGTGCAAATTCCGGCTTGTTCCATTTAGCCTCTCAATGTGGCCACTGGTTCTACGTTGTGCGGGGGCGCGGCATGTGGGTGAAAACAAGATACCAAGGATTTCACGGAATTCGATGTACACTGGTTTTCGAGGGTCTCTCCGTACAGTCCGCACACTTAACCGCCCAACATCACGCTATGACGTCTGGTTACACCGAATCCACACATAAAACAAAGGGAATCTTGACACTCCGGGCCATTTATTATGTGCTGACATTATTCTCTAATGCGCAGGGGTGATGGATGCGAGATAAGGGGCGTCATGTGCTCGGTTTCGTCGGACAAAACCGATTCGACGTAATATCAGTAGTTGTTTGGTGGAGTTAGGAAGTCAGTTGAATAAATCTGTGGCTTGACTACATTCAGCGGAACGGTACTTTGATCGCTCGTTGCAGAAGTTACCGCGATTTGACTTATATTTGTGTGCACAGGTGCGCAGTGAAAATGGACATTGACTATCTGTAAACCATGGTGTTCAAGCGTATCGTCTTCCTTCGGTGGACTCTATTTACTTGTTTGGTAATATATCCGAGCAATGGATTGAACGGAAATTTGGGATTAATATACCGAATGTAAGTTATTAATCTGAGGTAGTGTACAGAAACCTAGCTTCCATGCATAGAATCAGAGCATGCTCTAATTGGCCGATTTGTCCACATGAAATTATGTTTTGTTCCGCTCGATCGTCAAAGCAAATTCACTGACCGTTTGTTAGGACCAATTATTTCAAGCAATAATGATTTTTGAGAAAGGGTCCACAGTTAGCCCTCTCTTCTGCTGTAGCAATTGAGCACCAAGGTCAGACTATAAGACAACATAGGTCATGAGTACTGTACAGACGGTTGTCCTTGGCCTTAAGATTTACAAGCTGGCGTCTGTCACTTAATGTATATGTAGCGTTCAAGAAGCAGAACGCAGGTGATCCAGATGAAATGTAGACGTGTGAGCGTCACTAGGATTGTCAGCTAGTGAAGTCTTTTCGAAGAAAACACACTGATGCGGGATAAAGCGGTAACGTTCAAATTTTTCGAGCGTCACGAGTCACTTCTCTCATGAATACACTGAATAAAACCTGGATTACGCTGTAGTAACAAAACGTTAGTATCAAGAATATGCTTATAAACCGTTTGGAAGTACGATTTCTTCGAGCGAGAAGTTCCTGGACTATTAATCTTCAGTCCAAATACGGCGACAATGGAACAAGCATGAGAGGAACAATGACGAAATGGGCGGATATTACAAACGAACCTATTGAAAACCTCTGTCGGCTCACACAGACTGGGAATGTAAAGGCGAAGGAGAATAGAGTCACTTAAAGTCATTGGTTTGATACCCGTCAGTCTGTACTGGGATATTCAGTTTATTGATTTTGGTGTGACAGTGAGTCGAAGCAATCAGGTCTTTGAAGATGGCTGTTTGGAACTTTCTTCCCTTTTCTTTTGACCACATATCAGTAGATGTTCTCATATCCTCTCTGTTAGTTGTTCCATCGTTTGACGATATATCCAGCCGCAAACAAACACTAAAACTGATGGGTATACATAACTTGGGCCATATTAAACAACCTGTTATTGAGACTTTGAAAGACCATTCTCAAATTGGGTTTCCAGCTACATTTGACTAATCCTGTTTTATGTACTAGAATTTCATTCATAAGGCAGAAATTCGAGTTGCATTCGACGAAATGTTAGATAGGATAAGCTGTGTACCCATCCAGTTGGGTCAGCTGTAATGATGCACTGCTCAGAGCCTTGAGCCCCGATTTCACGAATCTGTTCACCCTGCGTCCTTCAATAAAGTCACGCGATCAAGTCACTGGTCCCACATGATTAGTTCAAAATATATCTACTCTGCGATATTTCTTCTTAATAGGAATATCTTCGCCGAAGTGATATACTTCTTCCCAGCGTGGCTTTTTTGAGGGTCTAAACGTCATCTTAGTACCAGGTTGGTGGAGGAACTTCCAAAATGGTTGTGGATAATGTTTTGTCAAATATAGTCCTTCAGAAAATTGATTGAAATTTTCTCTTCTATGAGCCTGGTGCGGATCGTCAACTACTAACTGAGGTCCCTCAGCGTCCAGCGTTGTCTGTTTTGCTTCAGCGTTAGGAAGATGTCTCCTGATCACTAAGGGGAAAATGTTTTGAAGCGGATGGATTTTTCGTACCATCCATTTTTATGCACTCATTAAGGTTGCATTATATCATTCATAAGAAAGTCAGGAACGATACAACCGATCAGTCACAAAAATTGACGGTAATAATCCAACCAAACTTGATGTTACACAACGTTCGATTTCGACTTCCTTCGCACCGAATACAGTGCAGATATATCTGGCTCAAGACTGATTACAGTCACCGAGCGAGGCAACCGAGCTGATCAGATGATTAGTTGTTGCCTGTTATCCGTTGGTTTTAATTCTTCTATGATAATACTCTCCTAACCTTAAACTTCGTGGTGATAGTCGACTTCGTTGTGGCTCAACCTAATGAACTGACTTTCCTTCTGAGCTACATACTGGGTGCTCAAAAAGACTTGCGCGTAGGGTGATTTGATTCTCGAGCCATTTCTTCGAGATGAATACCCCTCGTCAAAAAGACTATGTACAGTATATGCCTCGAATTTTGCCGAACGGCCAATAACATGTGCGTTTATGTGTTGAGCAGACGTAATGATCGGAGAGCTAGAACTGATTTGCGCGAAAACAAAATAGAATATAACAGTGGGAACAGTTTATGAAATTTGAGGACCAGAGACTTGTCATGTACCGTTATATATGCATGGTTCGGAGAACTAAAATAACAAAACAAGAAAATGTAAATTGGCACATGTGTGAGTATTGTCCAGCTCACGGCTCTGGATTGGACCAAAACTACATCGGTTCGAAGCAACAAGTTTAATGAGGATTGCCGAGGAAATATTCTTAAGGATACCAGCCAAAAATCTCCGTGGCTCAAGCTTATTTTTCTTCAACTATATCCCCAGGACTGCTTGGGATATAATGCTGTAACGAAGGCTATTTATTTCAGAACACCCAGAATAAACGCACTACTGCTATTTGCAAGTCAAAATAATGCCTAATAATAGTAACGACTTGATCCCTTGTTTGTTATATCCCTCTGCTGAATGTGCTGCATAACGACAGTATCATGTTCCAGTTTGTGCAATCGTTGAAACGTCACAGTGTATTTTTGATGCAACACACTACTGCTACTACCTATAGTATCGTTAAAAACACTCAGACCACCACAACCGGTTTCACCCAACTTGGGACTAATCAGGTAGGTTCAGTCCAAGAGATTATGCTACACTTAAAATCATATTGTACTAACTTGCAAGATACACTCGTCGGCACATTGGTTCTGTTTTAACATGAGTTGACTAATGATTCTCTCGCGAAACACCACAGTAAAGTAAAACTAAATATATCTCACCAGTTGTCCAAACTCTGATATTTAAAAATGTAAGGTTGACAACAACTTTCGGACTACATCAAATCGATTCGTTTGATAGAAGGCGTATGAAGAGTTTTCATCAATACTATGAAAGGTACGTCAGAGGGATCATCTGGGACGGAAAATATCTCACTTATGTTTGGTGTAGGGGTAGTTTCGAGAATATCCGTTTAAAGGGCGTTTTTAGCTAGTTATTTTGCTTTTTTGTTTGTGATTTCTTGCTTTATGAACTGCACTGTTTTCATCCACGACAGTAGTAGTACTCAAAAGCATAATGAGGCAGAAAAACACTTTGGCACATTAGAAACTGAAATAATAAATACCTTGGTAACAACCAATAATTTAATAGTAAACAAAATATTTTGGATATGTATATTTCCTCTTTTACCAAAGATTCCTCCTTTACAGAAATCTTGTTTATAGGAAAATTGTAACGTTCGCAAACTCAAATGATTAGCTAGTAGCAAGATTAACGATTATCCGCAGCAGAGGACCGAGCCTAAAATGTCGCAATTAAGATATGAAATGGCGTATTCTGGCAGCATTCGAACGTAACCGGAAAAGTGCCATGGAGTTTCTAAGTAATTATTGTTCATGTATTGAATTATCAAGAGCTTATACAGGCAGTCATACAGCATGATGTGAAAAGAGATTTTATAGCTCAGATTATTCCTTTCGAAGGTTTGGCTAAGCCGGCTAGTCGGTTGCTACAAATTTGGCAGGCACAGAAGATATTTCGTTCAGCAGTCTTACTGCCATTGTTCGTAAGCACCCAAAAGAGTCGTTTATGGCAGCTGTCATTGTAGGGTGACAGTGCTGAGCATTTCTATTTGGCTTATGCAGAATACCTACTCCATTCTACAATGAACATTCACCCGGAGACTCAGAGCCATATCAAACTATAGGCTGAAAGGTTGATTGCTTATGATAAAACTTCAGTTTACGTGCAAACAAAAGCATTTCACCATCATGGATGATACGTTAAGCTATAAATTGCAACTCAGTGTGAATGTGTGGCCCAATGGATAATAGGGGAGTGTAAATTGGTGTGAAGCGCCAAAAACTTCTTGTTACGGAATCGAGCCATGCATCCCCAATAACAGTTCACAAAAAACAGAGCATCTGGCGTCCTCTTCCGCTGCAAATGCATCCATCACATTTGAGGATGCATAGCAAACTTCTTAGCAATTTTGAGCTTGACGAATTATGTTAGGTGAAATCAAGCATGTAAAGGTTTCTTCACCGGCTACTTTGGATCACCTCTGATTTGCGTACATTGAGGGGAAGTAAAGTTTTGTGTGTACGGTTAACAAACCTTGTCTTCTTTTCAGCTCGGAGAATATTGCACGAATACAGTTTACTCTGTCTCATGAATATCCATTTATGTACACACTTCAGCCTATCTAGAATGAGATACGTCAGTGAATTCCAGATCCTATTATCAACAAGTTTTCAGAACCGTTCGAATACTGAATACTTGTAGATACTGTGATTCTGCATAACTATCGTTTAAAAGCAGTCGCGGAAATTGGACAATTTTGCAAACAAACCAACAAATCTTAAGATAAAACTGTTTAGAACAACTTAGTTTCGATGTAACTAGCAACCTTTTGGAACTGATTTCGGTTGCTTATCAGTGGAAAGTTCGGAAACACCTTTTTTGACAACGAATGTAGTTATCGGTTTTAAGGGAACTGTTGAAAAAATGGGTTCAGCGTCAGTAGTTACTTTAAAAGTTTATATCGAAATGCTGTACTATGCAAATGTTGGCTATTGTTGAGCATTGCCATAGTTCTCACCTTACCGCAAATAAAACCGTGAATTTAAACCTGGTATTCGGAAACTATACCATTCAGCAACTGTTGGCTAAATAGCAACCCAGCCAACATGCTCCAGTGTCGTACACGAGGTCCTTTTGAGAGTAAGGCGCTATTCATTTCTGTAACCCAAGGAAAAGTGTGCTTTTATATACAGATGTTTTCTGGGTGTATTAACGTCTGCGCTTTCCTATGCTTGGCCAAGTCGTAGAAAGTCTGTTTACCGTTGTCGGTTTTTCCAGGGTCACTAGTGTTTTGAAACAACTACGGATAAATCAACCAAATTGATGGGAAGGGGAA